AAGTTTCTCAAGTTCCACAAATGAGTGAAAACATATGGTATCTGTCCTTCTCTGACTGACTTATTTCACTTAGCATGGTACCCTCCAGTTCAATCCACATTGCTACACATGGCATAATTCCGTTCTTTCTCATTTCCATGTAGTATTCATTGTATAGACAAACCACATCTTCTTGATCCATTCATCAGTTGTGGACATTTGGGCTCTTTCCATAATATGGCTATTGTTGAAAGCACTGCTGTAAACATTGGGGTACATGTGCCTCTATGAATCAGCACTCCATTATCCTTTGAATAAATTCCTAAGGAATTTATTATACTGGGTCATAGGGTAGTTCTATTTTAAATTTTTTGAGGAACCTCCATACTGTTTTCCAGAGCGGCTGCACCAGTTTGCATTCCCACCAACAGTGCAAGAGGGTTCCTGTTTCTCCACATCCTCGCCGGTGTCTGTTTCCTGAGTTGCTAATTTTAGCCACTCTGACTGGTGTGAGGTGGTATCTCAGTGTGGTTTTGATTTGTATTTCCCTGATGATGAGTGATGTTGAGCATCTTTTCATATGTCTGTTGGCCATCTGGATGTCCTTGGTGGAAAAGTGTCTATTCATGTCTTCTTCCCATTTCTTCACTGGATTATTTGTTTTTCGAGTGTTGAGTTTGGTAAGTTCTTTATAGATTTTGGATAGTAACTCTTTATCTGACATGTCATTTGCAAGTATCTTTTCCCATTCCATCAATTGCCTTTTAGTTTTGATTGTGCAGAAGCTTTTCATCTTTAATTTTTTTTTAATTTTTAATTTTTAAAAGTTTTTAGAAATATAACTTATTGTCAAATGGGGAGAAGCTTTTTATCTTGATGGGATCCCAGTAGTTCATTTTTGCTTTTATTTTCCTTGCCTTTTGAGACATGTTGAGCAAGAAATTGCTGAGGCTGACATCAGAGAGGTTGTTGCCTGCTTTCTCCTCTATGGTTTTGATGGTTTCCTGCCTTACATTTGGGTCTTTCATTGTGAAAGGATGTCTTTTAAAAAGTCTTTCTTTTGGACTTCCTGGGTCAGTGTTTTGAGCATCTGACTGTTAATTTTGGCTTAGGTCATGATCTCAGAGTCATGAGATCAAACCTGTGTTGGGCTCCACACTGGGCGTGGAGCCTGCTTGAGATTCTCTCTCTCTCCCACTCTGTTCCTCTCCCCTGCTCTCTCACATTCTTTTTTTTAAGTCTGTCTTTTAAGTGTTAACATCTGCTGCACATTTGATGATCATTCATAAGGGTTCTTAAAGTTTCAAAAAGCACAGAGAAAGTTCTGTACCTTTCTTGATGAGGTTCCCCTCTCCTTTGACCAGGTTGTGTTTGCAAAGCAGAAAATGATGTCTATCCAATGAGAGAATGGATGGAAAGAAGCCCGAGACATGTTTGTATTCAGTTCGTGCTGGTTGGTGCCGAAGCTGGTATATGTTAAGCTTTTGCAATCTGGGCATGCTTTGCAGTGTTTTGATAAGCCAACACAGCTGAGATGAGAGGTTGTGCTGCTTCCCAGCCCTCCCTCATACTCAGGCGCCACTCAGGTGCTGAAGGCTCAACTGCGGATGAGTCTGAGTGACGGTAACTTGCCTCCTTTCCCTTCCCTATGTCCCTTGCAGGAAGGAGAGTCTGATGATCATGAAAATCTTCCTAATAAGGCTTCATTCCTTTTCAGTCTCTGTAAACTCTCTAAGCCTCTATGCTTTCAGTGTTCTCTGGTGCACACACACTCAAGTGATAGCGGGACAGAAAAAGGATGCTCTGGGGCGCCTGGGTGGCTTAGTCGGTTAAGCATATGACTTCAGCTCAGGTCATGATCTCCCGGTTCAGGGGTTAGAGCCCTGCGTCGGACTCTGTGCTGGGAGCTCAGAGCCTGGAGCCTGCTTCAGATTCTGTGTCTCTCTCTCTCTTTCTCTGCCCCTCCCCTGCTCATGCTCTGTCTCCCTCTCTCTCAAAAATAAATAACCATTAAAGAAAAAAAAAGAAAAAGGATGTGGTGTAAAGAACTGAAGGAACACTCAGTAAGTGACACTTACTGCTTACTAGTGAGGAACAGCTGTGTGGGATATGTGGGCCCAAAAGGCATCTCGCCTTAGAATCCATTTCACCCCTTGTAACATGAGGACATTAGACTAAAATTAGTTTTGAACGCACGCCATTCCCCTTCTGATTCTGGCCTGGGATTCCTTACAGTACTTGTTCTTTTCCACCCCTTGTCTCCATTTGTTCATGTTCTCATTCATTGGGCCCTTCACGGCATGCACTAGAACCTAGCAGTGAAGAAGTCCGGGAGCCGTCCCCAGGAATTGCCCTGAGAAGTGTTTTGGAAGAAGGGCCCTGGCCAGGAGCCTCACCCCGTAGGAGCCATTGGGGATGGCTTTAGGAGAAGCCGTCCATCAGCCTGTGCGAAGCCTTTTGGGGAGAGCAGACGTGGTTTCTTGGGAGAAGCAGAAGAGGGTCAGTGTTACTGGGCCCGTGGAACAAGGGGAAGACTGAGGGGTTTAAGACCTGGGTGGGCAGGGGCCCGCTCATGGAGCGCCTGTGGCGTTCAGACTTTAGAGTTTCTCCAGTGCATTCAGAGGGCTCCTAGCTAGATGGGACATAATCACACCCATGTTTTAAAACCTCCCGCGGGTGCGCTGCGAGAACGGATTGGAGTTGTGGAGAGACTAGTTAGGGGCTCCTGCAGTGAAGTTCAGGCTGACGATCTCTGTGCACTTTGAGGACAGGGACTGTTATAGGTGTCTTGGACTCTGCCACGATACTCTGTGGGGGGCGGATGCCTTATCAAAGGTTACCAGGAGCCATCGTGGGAACTGTGAGCACATGCGGGCTCTCCTGTCCCTCCTGGGGTGTTGGGGCTGAACTGGGAAGGACCCAAGTGGGACCCATTAGGCAGCTTGCCTCCTTTCCCTTCCCCAGTGTCCCTTACAGGAAGGAGAGTCTGATGGTTGTGAAAATCTTCTTCCTAATAAGGCTTCATTCCTTTTAAGTCTCTGTAAAGTCTCTAAGCCTCTATGCTTAGAGTTGGAACCAGATGATATGTATGTAACCTTTTCAGACTGGCTTCTTTCACTTTGTCATATACATTTAAGATTCCTCCATGACTTCGTGGTTTAATGCCTCATTTCTCTTTAGTGTTGAGTATCCCTTGTCTTGAGGTACCATGGTTTATCTGAAGGACATCTTGGTTGCTTCCAAATTTTGACAATTATGAGTAAAGCTGCTATAAACCTCCATGTGCAGGTTTTTGTGTAGACATGAGTTTTCAAGTCCTTTGGACAAATACTAAGGAGCATGATTACTGGATCATGTGGCAAAACCATGTTTACTTTTGCAAGAACCTGCCAGAGTGTCCTCCAAAGTGGCTGTACCATATCGCACTCCCAGTTACAACGAGTGAGTGTTCCTGTTTCTCTGTCTCCTTGCCAACATTTGGTATTGCCAGTGTTCCAGATTTTGGCCAATAGGCGCATACTAGTACCTTGTTTTTTCATTTGCATTTCTCTGATGACACATGAGACTCTTCGCATATACTCATTTGCCATCTGCATGTCTTCTTTAGTGAGGTGTCTGCTAAGGTCTTTGGCCCATTTTTAATTGAGTTGTTTGTTTTCTTGTTGAGTTTTAAGAGTTCTTTGTATATTTTGAGTATCAGTTGTCTGTCACCTGAACCCAGCATATACTGATGCCACTTGTGTGCCAGGTCCTTTAAGCATGGTGTTTTCCCACCAGCAATCCTTCCAGACGGTTCCATCTTTTTTTCACATTTGAGAGACTGTGGGATGGTGGTTAAGATGCGAATTTTGGAACTATTCGCATGGTTCCCATCCTGACAGGCAGCATATCCACTGTGAGACCTCGGGCAAGTTGCATCATTTCTCTGTCCTGCAGTTTCCTCATCAGTAAATTGGGTAAGAATAGAGCCTGTCTCATGGGGTGGTGACAGTGAAATGGACTAGCACAGTGAGCACCAGACCAGGGTCTAGGACATACCCTAGCACAGGTGACTCCAACGGATGAGGAACTGAGGCTGGCGGAGATCCGATCCCCTACCGGCCCAGGGGCACGTGGAGTGGCGCTGGAAAGCAGCTCCGATCCCGAAGCCTGTGTACTCTGCCTTCCCCCTGTCTTATGAGTGGGGAGCAGTACGGACAGAGCAGGCTAGCTTGTGCCCCAGCACAGAAGCTGCTCACTTATGCTGGGGCTGGAGCCCATCCCATGTGGATCGCCCTCCCCACCACTTGCACTCCTTCTGGGGAGCCCACCTGCTCTGGTTCAGTCACGACCAGCCCCAGGACATCGAAACCCCTCCTCCCACCCTCCCTGGCAGCACCACAGGATCGAGCCTGCAGGGCTGTCCTTTATGGCGGTGTCCGCTTGTGTTGGTTCCCCAGCTTGGGTCCTCCTCCCTTCAAACAGGAGCATGTGCCAGGGCTCAGCCATCACGCTTATGCACTTTGTCTTGTCTGTTATCACTGATGGCTCATACTCTCAGCCTCCTCTACTAGGCTGTAAGCTCTTCGAGGACAGGGTCCATGTCATCTTTATCTTTGAGTCCCTTGTGTGCCCCATGACACCATGTGTGCAGTGAACCCTTGTTGGGCTGAGCTCAGCACTACTGATGTTCTCTTAGGGAGAACATTTGTGCTCTGTTGTGCTGTAATAGACACAGGAAGAACAGAGCTCCTGGGGGGCAGGGGTCCTTGGCCTCTTGGCTGTCTCTGATATGCTGCTGGCACGAAGGCCCTGTGCCATTAAATACCTAGCTCTGATGAACTTCGATGTCTCTTTTCTTCTTTGAGACTTCTTGAGAAAAGAGTGTTTGCCATGTAATCCATGATCGCCTGTCTACTTAAAATGTCTTTGTATTTGCAAATAAGCCTCGTGACCAGTTATCTGAATAATGGTAACAGTTGTTGTGGGTTCTTTTCATTTTATTGGAGTCACTGACTTTGATTCATTACAAGATTGAGACACTCAAAGCCTTCGCCTCCACAATAGAGCTCCTTTGTTGCCAGAACTCCAAAAGCTAGCTTTTAAAAGCTGTCATTGAGGGAGAGATGATGCAAGAGGACTTAATAAAGCTGGGTCTAGTCTCAGGCTGTGGCCCCATTAAATCTGAGATCCCCGCTATCCAAGGCAGGCTTTCATGGTATGTGTGTTCAAGGGCTGTAGGAGATAAGACAAACATGTAAACCAGTTAATAAAAGTGAAATTCAAATAATTATAAGTGCACCGAAGGAAATAATCCAAGATGTGACAAAGAAGCCCTGAATCTATGTATCCCCAGCGCTTACCATGATGCATAGAAATAAAACCGACAGCTGCTCTTCATTGAGTTCTTACTGTGTGCTGGCACTGGGAGGCTTTGCAAATGAGAAAAATGAGGTTCACAGACGTTAAGCGACTTGTTAGTAAAAGAGAAAACCCAATGGCCATTCGATATCATGAATCTTTGTAACAGCAACATTCAGGAATAAAGATTCCAGAACCTTTTTTTTTCCATATAGATTTACCTAATTTTTCCCTTCAGGCAAAAATGCCTTCCCCCTATCCAATTGGATTTCCATATTTTTCCACACAGGTTGGCCTCTGTGTCAGTGACAATTGGCTGGATGGTAATTTTCTTCTAACCTCTTTATACTTAAAAGTGTCTGTTAAATTGCCCCTTGGCCTTAAGTGGTCTGTCCATCGGACATTTTTCTTAAGCTGACTTCATGCTCCTCATCATTGGACAGCATCCATTTCTCGTGTTCATTTTGAAACCATGTGTTTCCCCGCTGCCTTCTGACAGTGCAGAAACCCAGCCTGCATTGCCTGTAGTGGAAGTGTGGTAAGTCTGGGATTGCTACAGGAACTTATTCCTGCCTCTCGTGTCATATTCCCGCTGGAATGTTTTGATGATATAGTTTCTTTGATCTGGCCCTTCCCTTCCATGGGTCCATCCTCCATCCCTACTGAGTAAACTTCATGCCAGAGATAAAGAGTCACATGTGCTACCAACTGAGCCAGCCAGATGGCCAGGCACTGTGGGTTTTGATGATGCTTCCTTATCAGCTTTGGCCTGGAGCTCAGGACCAGGCTGCTGGGGAGCTGAGGTTCGCCCTTTCCTGCTTCTTCCCGTGTCATTGGCTGGCCTGGCACCTACCCTTCTCCACTCCACCCTGCCTCCATGCCCTGCCTTCACCTTCTCTCCTCCCTGGTCACTCATTCCCTGGGTGTCACCACACTCGGCGAAGAGCAGGGACTTGGGATCGTGTCGCGTCTATACCAAGTATTAGCTGTCTGACTTTGGAAGTTACTCTGAGTCTTATTTCTGCATCTGACAAATGGGGCTAGATGACAGCTAGTCCGTAGGCTCTTTCATTGGATTGAACAAGAGCATCTAATTCCTATTTAAATATAGTACTTACTAAGTGACCCATTTTCCTTTAGTAAGTCATTCTGTGATGGGAGGTAGCTTATATGTGATCAGTATGTAGGGGAATACCACTTCGGGGAAGTCACATTGGTTCTCATGCCTTGGTGTGTACATGATGCCCATTCACTCCATGCTCTTCCTCTGGGCTCCGTTCGGTCACGTGCTGTGATTTAGAAGTGCTATCAGGTAGTTCTCCCTGGTCTTTGTCCATTTTGCTTTTTCTTCTTGTGTACATAACCCAGCAGCCTCATACCCCTTCATCACACTAGTATGTTTTTGACAGGACTGTTGCTGTTTGGTTAGTGCTCTAGGTACAGATTTTGTGTGATTTTCTATAACACTACTATTATTTAACATGTAAATGGTATTATAGCAGAGACACTTGTGTTGATTTCTTTCTTCTGCCTTTCATCTGGCCTTTTGCATTGCTCTTCATTTCACAGAACCAGTGCCTTTGGCCTGGACCAGGCTAGGACCTACAGGAAATAACAGTTCAGGCAGGGACGCCTGGGTGGCTCAGTCGGTTAAGTGTCCAACTTTGGCTCAGGTCATGACCTCACGGTTTGTGGATTCGAACCCCGCATCGGGCTCTGGGCTGAGAGCTCAGAACCTGGAGTCTGCTTCAGATTCTGTGTCTCCCTCTCTGTCTTCCCCTCCTCTATTCACACTCAGTCTCTCTTTATATATAAACTAAATAAAGGGGCGCCTGGGTGGCTCAGTCGGTTAAGTGTCCAACTTTCGCTTAGGTCATGATCTCACAGTTCGTGGGTTTGAGCCCTGCGTCGGGCTCTGTGCTGACTGCCAGCCCAGAGCCTGGAGCCTATTTCAGAGTCTGTGTCTCCCTCTCTCTCTTCCCCTCCTCTATTCACACTCTGTGTCTCTCTCTCTAAAAACTAAATAAACATTTTTAAAAATTAAAAAAAAAAACAAAGACAGTTCAGGCAGATGCGTACCATGACTGGTTTGCTTTGTTTTGTTTTGTTTTGAGAGAGAGACGGAGAGCATGAGCAGGGGAGGGGCAGAGAGAGAGGGAGACACAGAATCCAACGTGGGTTCTGCGCTGATAGCAGCAAGCCTAATGTGGGGCTCAAACCCATGAATTGTGAGATCATGATCTGAGCCAAATCAGATGCTCAACCAGCTGAGCCCCCCATGTGCCTCTGTGACAGTTTCTTCATGTTGTTTCTCACCTGCTCTGTTGCAGTACATTCCTGACTGGTATCTGCTTCTATTCTTGATCCTGGATGGGCAGTTGTTGACATAGTGTCTAGAGTATCTAAATAAAAATACTCAATTTAAAAAAAAGATAAAGTAAATGCAGCAAAATGTCGATACTGTTTTTAAACTCCTGGGTATCTGTTTATTATTTTCTGTAATTTTCCATATGTTTGAGTTGATTAATCTCTGATGATAAAAAATTTTAAAAATAAAATAATATTTAGATACATTGAGTACTACTTTGCCTCTTTACTAGAACACCAAGTTCTTTTTATGCCTTTTTTGCCCTGGTACCCAAATGATGGGAGTTATTTTACTCCCTGGACAATTGTCAGATTATAGAAGCTCTTCCTTCCTGTGGTGTAGACTTTCAGGATTCCCCACCACCGGAAGGAAACCCTTCTCATTACCCCCCAGCCTTCTGTCCCAGCTTGCCTCCTACTGCCCCCTGACTCTTGGCTTCTTTTTATTTCTCATTTCTGGCCTGGGAATACCCTTCGGGGCTCAATGTGTTTCTTTTCCTGGACGTGTCTTGACCCTTCCCAGAAAGCTCTGCCCCTCTGGCCACTCAGAAGAAACCTTGGGCCAGACCACTTCCATCCTAACAGAGCCTGGCTCCTGGGATGTTCCTAGTACGGCCTTCCTGGAGTGACTGGCCCAGAGAGGAAGGTTTTAAGAGACTGAGAGATTAAAATTCTGGCATCACCAGTTACTAGCTCGGGTAGAGGCCACTTGGAGCTTTTGGTTTCACCCAGGGTAAAATGAAGATAAGATACCATTTTCTCCCTCCCTCTGTCTTTCTCTCTCATTTGGTTGTGAGGTTTACATGCAGCAAGGGTTTGAGGACCACTTTGTATGCTGTGAATATGGCTTGTCCGTTGTGTTTTCTTCTGACCTTCCATTCCAGATGAAGAGCGTTTACTTTTGAGCTCAGCACATCCTCAATTTCCATCTCTCTAGACTCAGTGATAGTTTCTTTCTTCCTCTTTTGCAAAAGCTTTAGTATGAGAAGTTCAGTTATTTATGCTCTGGCAGTTTCCACCTGTGCCTTGAGGGAGGTTTCCCAGGTCTCTAGACAGGACTTGAAACACATTATCCTATAGAAAGAAAGTTACCACATGCTGGCTATGCTTACTGCCGGACTCTACCTAAGGAATATATGGGCCAGACAGGTTTTCATGAAATCCTGATAGCTGTCAATTTTCCTGAGAAACTGGACAGATGTTGCCAAGCAAGCAACTCACCAGAAACCATCCATTTATATAACCCAGGGGCTGGCTTGTGCTCTCTCCCTCCCTCTGCTATGCTCAGTAAGCCTTGGTGGTTGGGGACTTCCTAGGCAGCTTTTAGCAAAGTCGTGCTAATGCAAGAGCTGTGTGACATTATCCCTGTGGCCCTGCACTGTTCTGACTACTCTGTTTTTATAAAATGCAAGAACTAGGGCACCTGGGTGGCTTAGTCGGTTGAGCATCCGACTTCAGCTCAGGTCATGATCTCACGGTTCATGGGTTCGAGCCCCGTGTCGGGCTCTGTGCTGACAGTTAGCTCAGAGCCTGGAGCCTGCTTCAGATTCTGTGTCTCCCTGACCCTCCCCTGCACATACTGTCTCTGTCTCTCTCTCAAAAAATAAAATAAAATAAAAGCAAGAACTGAAGTTCAATGGGCTATGCGAATTGAAAGGTATTTGAAATACACAACCTACCCCTAGCTCATATTTAATCCATTCCTAGCTGGCAAGAACTCACCCCTACTGTGGGACAATCTCTGATAGTATGCGACTTATCACAGTGATCTCCTCCAAGGGTTCTTGCTGAAAAGTCCTCTCTTGATGTCTGTGGGCATAAAAGTACCTGATGAAGAGGGGGTGCTCTGACCCCATTGTACCTCCTCCACCCCAAGATTCTACTCCCCGGACAACATCCCCATCACTGCCTTCTCCTGCCACAAGTGTAAAGCCCACCCCCTCCCCAGAGGGCGGTGACCCTTTGAGTCTTTTTATTATGTTTCAGGGACTAGGGAAGCCCACTTCAGTGTCTTCCTACCATCCCTTTCCCCTCTTTTTAGGGCAGGCATGCCCCCACTCTTTAAAGCAACAATAGAACCTGCTGGTTACTTCATACAGAAGAATGCAGTACTTCCTGAGAAACTACTGGGAACCAGGCAGCCTACTGAGAGTACAGATATTGACATCATTGTCCATTTGGAGAAACTTGGGTTTGGAAGGTGAAGTGACCTGAGGTCACCCAGCTGTGAGTGGCAGAGTTGGGTTTGAGGAGAATAGCATCAGAACCCATGCACCTAGCATCTCTCACACTGTACAGGATGTGGTGGACAGCGTGCCTGAGATACACACTCCCCATCCCACAGATGGTGGCCCGGGAGCGGGACCCAGGTCTCCTGCCGTCCCACCTCACACCCACCCCCATGTCTGCGAGTTTGCTCTCTCTTCCTTGGGCTGTGCTTTTACCTGTGCCTTCTTTCTTCTTGAAGGAGACAGAAAACTGCTGATGTGCCATCCAGTGACCTATCACCAAATGTTCCTTCAGCCTTCCCTTCATCAGGCTAGAAGTCCTGGCTTCTCTGTCTAAAAAGACTCCTTCTTTAGTCCAGTTTTCTTTCTTTTTTTAAATTTTTAAAAAATGTTTATGTTTTCAAGAGAGAGAGACAGAGTATGAGCAGGGGACGGTCAGAGAGAGAGGGAGACACAGAATCTGAAGCAGGCTCCAGGCTCTGAGCGTTCAGCACAGAGCCTGACATGGGGCTTGAAGTCACGGACCACAAGAACATGACCTGAACCAAAGTCAGAAGCTTAACCAACTGAGCCACCCAGGTGCCCCATCTTTTTTTTTTTTTAATATTTATTTATTTTTGAGACAGAGCATGTGCCTGAGCTAGAGAGGGGCAGAGGGAGTGGGAGACAGAGGCTCTGAAGCAGGCCCTGTGCTGTCAGCAGCAAGCCTGACATGGGGCTCGAACTGAACCGTGAGATCATGATCTGAGCTGAAGTCAGATGTTCAACCAACTGAGCCACCCAGGCGTCCCTCTAGTGCAGTTTTCCAACCGACCCTCCCCGCCTCCTCCTCCCCCTGCCCCTCCCCTGTAGCCCCTCCCCTTCTCTTAATCCTCACCCAAATTCAGCCAGGCCTATTACTTGCTGTGCTTTCATTCCTGGTTCTTTTCTTGCCCACTTTTTCTTTTTATGGTGGTTTCACTTTCAAGAGCTTTCTCCAGCTGAGCCAGAGCTGCCCTCATGACCAGCATTGGCCAAAAATCTCTCAAATACTCAGCTTTACTATGAACCCGGGCGTTTGGTTTTAGTTCTGACCTCCTTGTGGCATGGTGCCCTGTGACTTCGCTGCCACGGAGAGACCTGAGGCTGGGAGCTGTGGGGGATAGGGTCCAGACACTGCTCTTGCATTTATTTGTCACCATCTCATTTTGCTTCTCAGGTACCCAGATAAGCTGTTTCTCCCCAAGTTCCTTCTCCTGGCGTCAGGCTGCCTTCGTGGATTCTTACTGTTGGGCTGCAGTTCAGCAGAAGGACTCCTTGCAGGGCGATTCCGGACACCTTCCACTGTGGCTGCATAAGGTAACTGGGGATCTTTACGAATCTCACCTGTTGGCCTTGTAGACGTTGTCAGCGAGGCCCAGAGTGGCTGTGCCAGTCCCCAGCCGTACAGGTGCACGTGGCCAGCCAGCAGCGCTGGCCCTCGGATCGTACAACCCTCACGCTTTAGGTTTAGTCAGAAGAAACCCCAGAGATGACTTGGTCCGGCCCCTTCACTAGCCAATGAAGAAACTGAGGCACTTTTTTGGATTTTAGCTCCATAACAGTGGGCACCTCTTATGTCTCACATTTCTACCCTTCCTTCCCAGCAGTGTCTGACGCAGAGTAGGCTCTCGGTGACTTTTGAATGCCTGGGTGAGCAGTGTCAGATAGGGGCAGGGCCAGGACTCAGACCTAGCCGTGGCCAGTGCCTTTCCCCCCGCTCACAGGGCTCCTTGAGAAAAGGGAGGGCCAGCATACCATTTAGTTTTTTCCGGCCAGTGCGTTCCTGGAGCATCAGGAAGCCTAGTTATGACTCCTTCTGGCGGTGTTGGCTGCAACGGGTTGGGATCGATTCCTTAGCTTTCTGACAGGTCCAGATTCTGCAAGGAAGGGGAGGCACACTTCATAGGAGACATCAGTGTCCTACAGAGCAGAGGTCAAGCCAGGAGCTCCCTGGCAGGGGGAGTGGAGGAGGTAGGGGTAACATAGGGCATGGGAAGTGAGAAACCGGCGCCGGAGTCGGCCGGCTTGTGCAGGAGAACATTCTCTGTGTCACGAAGCAGTTCTGTTAGGTCTTCTCCATGCATGTAAAAGTAGGACTGTTTGTCAGCCTGTCATTATTTTCAACCACTGGTTCTACTGTCCATCATGAAAACAAAAAGAATGTTTGTGTTTCTTCTGGTATTCTCCTCCACTGAGGAAAGCATGCTCTTTTAGTTTCTGAAAAGCCAAAGGCTGAAAAGTTTGACTCTGGCCTTGACCTATTGCTGAACACACAGCATCCTTTTTAAAAAAAGAACAATTTAAGTCCTTTGCTATGACTCAGGCCTCATCCCCTCATGTGAATTTATTGTGTGCCACCAGGCAGAGTGATGCCTACAGTGACTGCCTTCTTTTTTTGGGCTGGGCTTGTTTCTTTGACTTTAGCCTTAGCGCTAGCTGGGTCTTCATCAACTCTGCAGGTCTTAGTATCCAGGCCAATAAAGAATAAGGGTATTTGATAGCAATGGGCACCGTTCCAGAAGCTGAACAGCCTTGTCTGCACGGGAGAATCCATGCTGTTATGGCATGGGTCGCTGTGTCGTGATGCTCTCAGGGGAAGGGACGGCGTGCCAGGCTGGGCACGGACGGAGCCACAGAAGAAGAATGTATCATCTGGCTTGTCCAGTGTAAGAGTGACAGGGATGTTAGAGACTGTGAAGCTTCTAGAGCAGGAAGAAACAAGTATTCTGATGCAGTGTAAGGTGAAGGGCACCTAGAGAGACAAGCCAAGGACTCAGGACTAGTTGCTGGCTGTAAGGCCATGGTCAGGTCCCTGGCCATGCCCTGCCCTTGCTATGTAGGAGGAGGAGCCTTGTCGAGTGCTGTGGGCAGCCAAGCCCCCGGCATCCAGTTAGTGAGACACTGAGGATATTTCTGGTGGCAGTAGTCTAGCTTTGTTTGGATGGACATTTAGCTGAGAGATCTTTCCAGATCCACAGGGCTTGGGGCAAAACTTAAGAGCTGGGACCAGCCAAGTTGAAAGGACTTTGGTCAACACACCCCAGGCTCGAAAGCCTATTCCTAGGGAGAAAGGGGTGATCCTAAATTAGACTAGCTCTCATGAGGACTAGAGTCCTGGGCTGGATCGTGTCAGTCCTGACTGAATGAGGAGTTATGGGGATGGGCAGCATCTCTAGTCTGCCCACCAGTCAGCAGCAAAAATAAATCTTCTCCGGAAGTAGGTAACTTCATCCAGAGCCTCAAAGTCTTACCTAGTTTTTCACATGTAATGTCAGCAGCTGATACACAAGAAAACCAAGAGAAAAATCAGAACTAAAAACAGACCCACAGGACATCCATATGATAGGTTGATCAGATACACATTTAAATAATCACTAATACTATGGTGTTAGTATTAATACTAATGATATGGAGAATTTCAAGAGAATGAAATTCTTGAACTGAAAACAATAAATGACAGTTGATTTTAGCTGATGTTTACTGACGTCCTGCCTACCATATACCAGAACGTATGTGTGGCATCGGAGAGCCACGCATGACATGGCCCCTTCCTCGGGAAGCTCACTGTTTGGTGGGGAAGACAGATGTGTGAGGAAGACACTGGGAAGGAGTAATCCGGAAGCGAGATGGGAAAAGGAGAGCGTGGTTATCATGGAAGCCAAGGGGAGCGTGTTCTCGGACACAACAGTGAACTCTGTTCAGTGCCCTTGGCGGAGGAGACAGTGCAGTAGGAGTGAAACAGACTTACCGGTGTGGGCGAACTCGTCAGTGCCGCTGGCAGGGGTGGTTTTCGTGAAGAAGTGGGTGCAGATGGCAGTGGGTGAACGGGAGGTAAGGAGATGAAGATGACGGTGATAAATTCTTCAGATTTTTTCCTCCCAGAAAAATCTCTCTTTCCGGGAAAAGGAAGAGAGAGCTATGAGCTGGGTGGTAGCTAGAGGGAAGGTTCGGGGACCTGAGAAATGAGAGAGTTTGGGACACATGGAGATACCTATGGCAGTAAGAGGGGGAGAGGCTGATGGCGTGCTGTCTGGGGAGGGCCCGTGGCACCTTCTGGCAGAGGGGAGGGCACTGCCTTGTCCTGTTGGGGGACAGCGGGCCTTTATTGACTCTGCAGGGTCAGCTCAGGTTATAGAGGACCTTTGAAAACTTAACAGGTGTGTGTAGGCCAAGTGCTGGAAACAAAGGGAGCCACTGTAGTGCCCTGAGCAGGGGTGTGATGTTTCCAGGCAATAATCCTCAGCGATGGGGTGCAGGAGAGAAAGGAGGCAGGGCAGGAGCCACCTGGCAGCCACAGACTGAGGCTTTTGATCAGGAGACGGAAAAGAAGGGGAGCTGTTAGCGTGAGAAAGGGAAAGAAAAATTGAAAAGTGACACAGGTGTTTTGTTGCTGGGTGGAGGGCTACACTGAAGGACAGTCACAGGTGACATCTGTGTTTAGACTAGGGGTCAGCGGGCTTTTCTGTGAAGGGCCACATGGGCCATTTTCTCACCAAGGCAGGTCCGGCAGTCGCTCTGCCGCGATAGACGATATGTGTGCGGTCATCTGTGGCTGAATTGGGCTTGTGGGAGTGATTTGCGGTCCCGTGGGCTCGGGGGACAGCAGTGGGGATGGTGGGAAGTACAAAGATTCTGGGCATCTCGGAAGATGTGCCAGTGGGACACAGAGGATGAGGGAGAGGTTAGAGTCACGGACCCGGCACGCCCAAGGATTTAGGCTCTGGGTGAAGGTGAGGCCATTCACTCCTTTGAAGAAGTCTGGGGAGGGAGAAGGTTTTAGAGTTATCTACTCTTCCCAGTGCCTCATATAGCCGCAGTCATGCAGTATGTGGCCTTTTACATCTGATTTGTTTCACTCAGCGTGTTTCCAAGGTTCACTCTTGTGGTAGCATAATCAGAATTCCCTGCCTTTTTAAGGCTGTGTAATATTCCAGTGTGTGTGTGTGTGTGTGTGTGTGTGTGCGCGCGTGTGTGCGCGTGCGTGCGCCAAGCTCTGTGTGTCCACGCATCCAGCAGTGGGCGCTCGTGTTGCTTGCACCTTGTGGCAATCGCAATGAATGCTGCCATGAACATGGGTGTACAGACACCTGCTCAAGTCCCTGCTTGTGGCTCCTGTGAGCATATACCCAGATGTAGGGTTGTCGGATTCTTTCTCAAGCTCAGAACATGTTTCCCGGTGGTTTTCTTTTGGCTTCTCTCCATTCAGCGGACTCCTGATTGCTAAGGCGGCAAGGACCTGTGAGCCAGGCTGAAGGGCCAGAGCAGTCGATGCCCTGTGCAAGGCCCCATGGCCAGGTGGCGGGAGAGGACAGGACCTCCTTCAGACTTCAGGCGTTTCTCACGTGTGAGAAGGTGCAGGTTTAACGTGGCTTCAGAAGGGAGCACTCTAACCTGGGGGTGGCGACCAGTTGCTGAACTTTGGCTCGACACGGAAAGGGAGTTTGTGGCAGAAGGGGTGTCTGGCAGGGGGCCCCACTCAGTAGTGGAGCCAGGGAGGTCCTTGGTTCTGGGGGGGCACGACGCTGTGTGCCTTCTCCCCACGTCTTTATTGCTTACCCTAGCTGTGCTTCCTTCATGTAAACCCCCGGCCCCTGAGCTGTTCTTGACACCTGGCTACGTAATCCCCACCTCTTCCTCCCTGCTGTTCTGCATCACCCTCATTCGTTCACGACTACGGTCGTAGCTCATAGACATTCCCATCCCAGGAGAACTCTGGTGTCCCTGATGGTGCATCTACTGTACCATCCACCGTCTGATCTCCATGGACTCTGACCCTCTCTCCATGTGTCCACCTCATCCTGTGGCCACCTCACTCTTAGTTCATCATTACCTCACTCCCTGCCCCCACCTCCAGCCCTCTGAGGCCCCGCCTTTCTGACTCTGTCATTTCCCTAAACAAAACCCTCCAGAGTCCCTACAAAATCTCTATATTTCTTTCAAAAGACAAACTACTCTGGCTCCCAAGGGTCTCTCTCCTGCTGAGCCCTGTGAACCATCCCAGCCTCACCTCTGGGTCAATCCCCACCATCCCTGGGCCCCCAGGGACCCAGACTTCCTGTAGCTCTCACTTGTCTTGGCCATTTCACACACACCTTCCATTGATCCCTCCTCCCCTCTAATCTGGCCACCTCTGGCTGTATGATTCTGCTCTCAGCTGAAACGTCCTTTCCACCTGGAAGTTTCCTCTGAATCTCTAGATGGAGGCTTCTTGCTTTCAGGGCCAGGTGTGTCAACGCGAAGCCTCCAGGAATAAGACCATAAGGCCGCTGTGTGGACAGCAGACTGCACACCCTGCCTAAAGGCAGTTAGATCCTAAA